AATTGAGACTCCACTGTATTTCAGAATCCTTAGTTTAAAATTGTAAATTGTTTACAATTGAAAAATTCTCACAGTGAAAAAGAACTCAGATGCGTAAGAAAGGGATAATTTACAAGACTATGAAATTTGTTAACATCGAATATGTTTTTAAGATGATTAAAAAGCAAAAGACAATGGAATTCAATTCAATTCACAGCATAGTATTATTGTTTGATCAAATAATGACGTGGGCCGTTAATTGTCTTATGGGCTTTTTCATCGAGGGACGCAAAGGCCCGTAATCCCTTATCCAAGGCAAGTCCCAACGGCTAGTTTTCTGAAACGGCTCCTTCCATCTGTGTAGTCCCAACGGCTCTTTCCTTTCCAAAACCTATTCCTTTATGCCTTTAAATACTCACATCACATGACTGCAAACGCCACAATCACTTGTCTATTTCTCTCCCAATAGCCCCTTTCGTATTCTAATCTTCTTCTTGTTCACAGATCAATCAATTTCCCAGAAAAAAACAAGTCTTTCAGATCTAGAGATGGAGACACCATCTTCAACAAGAAGAGTCACGAGGTCTCAGACCCTCTCTGCCATTAAAAGCTCTGCCACCAATCACCTCTTATCATCAAGTAAGTCTCCATTAAAACCGATCTCTTTCCTCTAGTCTGGGTATTTTCCCCTGAATTGATTTGCCCAATTTTGTTGATATGGGTTTCTTTGTTTTAAAATCTTGATTTGTCTTTCTAGATTCTGTTTTTTCCTCCTTCGTATGAATTTACCGAGTCTGATCGTTTCTTCTTGTATCTTCCTCCAGAGAAAGCAGAGGAGTCGGATAAATGTCAATCGAAATCAAGACCAAGAAACGGTGCAAAACCGCATAAAGACCGATCAGCACTGTTCGACATAACTAACGACTCACCGATCGTAGGTCTGGCGATGCAGACTCCGTCGTCCGGAGTGACTGGAAAGAGGAACATGAGTAGAATCAAGAACACTCCTGGATCTGGTGAGGCTCTCTTGAGAGGCCAAGTCAAGACTCTGCTGCAGAAGGTTGAAGAAGAAGCAGATCTTACCAAGATCTCAGTCCAATCTCGTCCCTTTATCCATCTCGTTACTTCTCCCATGGGACTCCTCGCTCCGACTCCGGCCAACACTCCCCAAGTTCACGATTTCTCAGGTGATAACGACGGAGTCCAGGTTGTGATCACATCTCCGGTTGTTGCAGGACAACTCCGAGCACCATCTCACGTAATAAAAAAAAACTAGATTTTATTTTTTGTGGGTTTAATCGTAGATTCAAGATTTGGTGGGTTTTCAAAAGCTAAATGATTTGTGATTATTGCAGGTGGTGGAAAGTAGCATCTTTGAGGTGAAAGAAGAGAGCTTGGAGTTAGAGAAGAGTCCGAGCGTAACACGGTCGTTGATGCTGGACTTTAGTGATAAATGGGAGAGCTCGGACTGCTCCTCGGTGGTGACTCAAAACCCAGAGGATGATAACTCATCGGTGTGGTCGATGCAGGTCAATGCAAGTACTAAAGACGATGATGAGGAGGACGAAGTGTATTCTTACAGAGAGGAAGATGATGATGCTGATGAGGAGGAGGAATGCATCTACGAAGAAGAGGGAGTGATTGTGGATGAGTTGTGCGAGGGAATGAGGAAGATTAACTTTGAAGGGAAACACACTCGATTTGTGTACGACAGTGAAGATGAAGAGATTGTGGAGGCCAAAGAGGTGCTGCATTTGAAAGGTCTTCCTACACCAAGAGGCAAACATGTCAGATTTGCTCTTGGTGGTGACCAATCATGATGATTCGTATTTGGAATTGTGACAAAAAGCCTCAAATGTCTCAACTTTTCATATAATCTTTTGTTTTTCTTCTTCTTGTTTCATGATTCTTGGGCCTATAGACACCCTGTCATTTTTCAATAACTAAAGTGTAATCGGAATATGACGT